GTTACTTTTTCCTGCAGTGATTCATTTTGTATTTTTTTTTTTTAGATGTTGCCAGGTAGCCTGATTGCCAGAGTGTGCCTCTGCTGCACTGTAACGTTACAGCAGTGATTAATTTTGTGTTTTTTAGCTGTTGCCAGGTAGCCTAATTGATTGCCAGGGTGTGTCTCTGCTGCACTGTGACTGTGCTACAATGATTCATTTTATGTTTTTTATTTTTCAGTGGTTTAATTTAAATATAAATATCATAACACAAAAGACACAATAAAACCATAATGGATCGTCCACGTCCTCCGAGTCCTCACATTCTCCCCTCAAGTAAAGTGACTGAGGAAACTGGTAGCCGCCATGTCGCTGCTGGTAGTGCCACTACTAGTGTTAGGAGGCAGAGCACAGGTAGTGGTACACTTGCTTCCTCTTCAAGTCACCTGAAGCAGAGGCAAATGAAACAGCAGGAACTGCTAGTGCTTCCAATTCCTGCAACCAAAGCCAGCAGTAGCACTAGAAAGAATTCAAGCCCAGTTAGCCCACCTATGAAACTGAAGAGGGCAGGGAGGGAAGCTGCAGGCCCCAATGCCCAGCCATTTGCCACCAAAAAGCAGCAGCAGCTGGCTTCCAGTAGCAGGGTTGAGAGGTCCCCTAGGTCCACAAAGCAGCCACCATTCAAATCTCGTAGACTCCCTAGCATTGCTAGTGGTGACAGTAGTACCTCTGCCTCCATTGCTGCCAGCTCCACTGCTATGTTTTACAACAGCTGGGCAGTTTCAACACAGCCTGTTACCGCTGCTCATCCATTTAGGTAGCCGAAGAGGGAGTTATAGAGGGAAAAAACATGCTAGTGCTACACATGCCACCACCACTCATAGCAGAAGCAGTAAATATCGATGACATAATACAAGAAGATATTCTTGTAGTTTTCAGTAGCCAGGGAGAAGAGGGGATTGATTTGTTTGCCCAAATTTCAGCTGCTGGTGACATATCTCGGTTTCTCAGCAGCAGAGGTATTGAACAAGGCTCTAGTCTAGGAAATGAGACACTAGACTATGATGATGAGCCTGAAGATCTCTGTTGAAGACAGTCCACCAACACCCACTCAATCTCCCCTACTGATATCTGCCCCCTCAACTCCAGCAATGCCAACTGCCTCTCCTGATTGATTTTGTACTTGCACACTCTTCCCCACCCATAACTAGTAGTGGCATCTGTGGTTCCAGAGTGTGGGAACAGTTTGCAACAATTGGAGACGGCTGTCTGGCAAAATGTAAACTGTGTGGCAGGGAAGTCGGTCGTGAGAAGGTGTTGGGTCATCTTACTAACTCTGGGATGAGCCAACATCTTCGTACACACCACAAGGCCATCTTGCTAAGGCAAGAAAGCGGTGTGGCTCCTCCACCTAGCAGTACTAGGAGAAGTGGTAGTGCCACCACCACTAGGCATGACAAGAGGAAGGGGGATCATCGAACTTCTGCTGCAGGACATAGTGCCACCAGTCATCTAATTCATGCTGCACAGCCCACCCTAGAAAGTTTTGGTGGATTTCACTCCAGGGGGATGTCCAGGCAGCAGTCCAGGAAAATTACTCGGCTCATTGGTGAGCTGATAGTCGGAGGTGCCTCTTTTAACATGGTGGAAGGGGAGCCCTTCAAGCATATAGTGACCTCACTCTACCGTTACGGTGTTGAAGGAGCATCTGGCAAAGGCTGGTGGCCAGTCAGTGCTAGTGGCGAGTATGCTTTCCTGTCCTTGACAGGACATTGGTGGCAGCCCAAGGTATCAGGAGATGTCACCACGTTAGACACAGGGAGCAAGCACTACTCTTTCCTCCTCCATGCTGAGATGATGGACAAACAACATACCTCAGAAAATATTATGCAGGCACTAAAAACATGGTGGTGCAGTGGGTAGGACAGGAGGCAGACACACAGAGGTGTTTTGTGGTGATTGACGGAGCTAAAAACATGGTAAAGGCTCTCCGTGATGGTAGCTTTGTAGCCGTGCACTGCAGTGAACGGTTGGCAACCCTGCTTGAGAAATGCAGAAAGATTGCTGGACACTTCCACTGAAGTGTGAAGGATAGCCAGCTCCTGTGAAATCAGCAAAAGAAGGCAGGCATAGACCAGCATCATCTCAAGCAAAATGTAGGGACTAGGTGGAACTCCACTTTGGAGATGCTGCAGCGCATCCTGGAGCAGCAGAAAGCAATCAATGCCATGTCCTATAAGCATTACATCGGGATCGATAGCCCCTTAGTCAGGGAGGATCGGGCAGCTAGTGGCAGTCCTTATTCCATTCAGGGATGTTACGGAGAAATTAAGCCAAGAAAATGCGAGCCTTGGTCAAGTAATCCCCTTGTTCACCCGCCTCTCAAAAAAGGAAGTGGTACCTGGTGGCCAACTAATTGGTGATGTTGCTGCACTTGTTAGGAGGCGCGAGGAGCAACTAACACGTAGGTTCAATGAGCGCATGGAGTCTTGCAAAGAGTTGATGCTTGCGTGCATGCGTGACCCAAGAATAAAGGGCAAGATGGCACTCCACATGAATTCCCTGACCGCTTGGAGGGATAAATTGACAGGGTGCGTGATGTGCAAAGAAAGAGGTTAAGGTTAAGGGAGAAGAAGAGCTGGAGGAGCCTGATAGTGTAGCACCATCATCTAGCAGTGTAAGCAGCACTGCTCAAGCCACTGGAGCAGCTGCGTGTCGGGCTGAGGCCCTGGATACTTTGGCCTACTACGGTTCCCGCAAGAAAAGGAAGTGGTGCCACAGAGATGATGAAGGCTTTCCTTGGCAAACCACATATGCACTCTACAACAGATCCTTTGAGTTTTTGGGATGAGAAAAGGGATGTGTGGCCTGCTCTCTCTCTGTTAGCCCAGAAGCTCCTCTCGTCCCCCAACCACTGTCCAGAGTGAACGTGTGTTTTCTGTTATGTCAATCCGCCCAAGTTGGGTTACCCCACTCTTAGCTTTGACACAGATTGAACTACTTTGTCCATACCCGTCTGTCTCTATTTTGTCATTATTCTATACTTCCACGTTAAGCCTGGCCACTCTAAGGACCAGTAATACATTTAATAGATATCTGTGTCTCAGGTTTGCGTGTTGGGATATACCATCCTTGACAGTGTTTTCTCTTTTGTTCAATCGTTCACTCCGCCTGACTTTATGACGTACTCCTTGTTGATTGGCCACACTACACATGGCTAATCTATTATGTACCCAACGACTACTATGATTGGTCCAAGTATTGTTCTATCTACACACAGGCTCGGATAAGTTAAGTTATGATTCAGATAAGTTATGAATTGAAAACAAGAAACCAAAATAATCAATAAAATATGTTTTATTATACAATGAAAATATATAGATATTTTCATTGTATAATAAAACATTTTATTTATTGATTATTGTGGTTTCTTGTTTTCAATTCATAACTTATCTGATTAAAGGATCACTATAGGATCAGGACCACAAACATGTAATATAGATATATTACAGAGAGAGAGAGAGCGAGAGAGCGCGAGAGAGAGGGGGAAAGTTAAGATGAAAAAATATATATCATATACAAAAATATACACACATCGAACATACAATTCACATTTTAAAAAATTTACATTGTGAAAAGCTGTTCCCCTTCAATATATGTTTATTCTACATATACGCAAGAGCCGGTATCTCTACAATAAATAAATATATTTATTTTGTTAAGTGCACTTTAGGAATTTAAATGTTGCTCAGATTGCTTCGTTAATGAACAATACATCTCTTAGGAAATATGAAGCTAAGCCTATGCATTTAGAATTCTTTCAAAAAGGATATGTACATGTGGAGGGGTTTTCACACAACTGATTTAAATCCTTGTGGAAAACATGAGTATGTAAAAAATTTAATTTAAGATGCAACCATAATATTGAACACAAAGATTTATTTAGGTGTTTGTTTTTCCTACAGTAATGTGACCACATAAACATAAAAAAAACAAAAAAAAAAACAATTAAGTAGGTACTAACTAGTTTCACATCTAAAAACACATTGTCATTGAAATTGATAATGCATTAACACTTTCATATGATTTCATGAAACATTTATTTTAACCCCTTAAGGACACAGCTTCAGAAGCTTGACTTACGCTTCATGACAAGCAATTTTTGCATTTTCTTGCTGTTTGCGTTCAACTGCAATTTGCATCTCTCTCATTTATTGCACCGACACATATTATATACTGTTTTTTAAAGGACAGAATGGGCTTTAATTTGATATAACATATATATATATAAATGCTTACTTATTATATGCAATAGTAATGTGTGCATAATTAGTGCAGGTTAAGGAAAGTAATTAAAAATAAATTTATTTATTTGTTCTGATTTACAGAATATATAATGTGTCTGGGATTTTAAGTTTTTTTTGGTAGTTACAGGTCACAAAGCACAAGGAGTAAAATAAACTTTTAATGTGGAGCGATTTTAGAATTTGGTATGTTTGTCTTGTAAGCTTAATAGCCATAAAAGAAAACAAAATTGCCACACAAAAGTATATATCTATATAAAGTAGACATCACGGGCTATTTACCTAAGGTTGTTTTGATACTTTCTACGTAGTCATTTCACCGCCAACCTCTGCTAAATATTGGAGTAAAATTGTGTTCTTTTTGGTTTTTGGCACACAAACTTATAACAGAGAAATTCTCGTGTATATTTTGTAAAGTTGGTGTGTGCTATTCCTGTACAAAGTTTTATTTTGTGTTCAGTTACATCTGCTGAGTAAAATGACACCCCCATTGTATGTCTTTTGCACTATTTCGTGAAGTTACAGTGCCATACAGGATACCTGTCCTTTTCAGTATTCACAGTAGAATTTTGAGAGATGAATTTAATGAGCCTTAGCTTCCATTTGGGGTATTATAACAGTTTGACTGTTCAAAAAACCCCCACAAAGGCCTACCATTTGTAAAAGTAGACATTCCAGGGTATCTCATAAGGTGCATATTGTGCCTTAACATACCCCCATTTTTTCACCAATATATGCCAAAGTATGTGGTAAAAAAATTATTTTGTGCATTTTTTACATACGGATTGCATTTTTGCTGGGCGTTTTGTATATTTCATATGTGCCACTAAGTTCAAACCTCCCAAATTATGCTCAGCTAAGTCTTTTGAGTAAAAATACACCCCCAATGAATGTCTGTCACTATTTTGTGAAGCTACAATGCCATATAGGAGACCAAGCCATATCCGTTTTTACCAAACTTTGAATTTTGACGCTGGGCCTATGTGCAATTTCCAAGCATCTTCGCAGGTTTTAAATTCAATCTACCCCACAAAGGCCTACCATTTCTTAAAGTAGACACCCCAGGGTGTTTCAAAAGGTATAGTTTGAACCTTAGCGTGGGATCATTTTTCCGCTAGCTTGTACCAGATGTAGTGGTAATAAGCGTTTTTTCTGCCTTTTTGACATACAAAGTGAGTTTGCACAGTATATTTTGCAAACCTTATGTGTGCTACGACTGTATAATACTTCATATGTTGCTCAGCTATGTCGGCTGAGTACAGCAATACCCCCGTATGTACCTTTGCCAGGTATGTGTGGACATCGGAGGGGCACATTTGGGACACAGCCATTCCAGTTTTTTTCAAACTTTGAATTTTTATGCTGTGCCTATGTCCCATTTTAGAGTATTTTACCAGGCTATATAATCCAAATTCCCCATAAAGCCATACCATTTCTTAAAGAAGACATCCCAGGGTATTTCAAAAGGCATATTTTGAACCTTAGCGTGGGATCATTTTTCCGCTAGCTTGTACCAAGTGTAGTGGTAATAAGCATTTTTTCTGCCTTTTTGACATACAAAGTGAGTTTGCGCAGCATATTTTGCAAACCTTATGTGTGCTATGACTGTATAATACTTCATATGTTGCTCAGCTATGTCAGCTGAGTACAGAAATACCCCCGTATGTACCTTTCCCAGGTATATGTGGATGTTGAAGGGGCGCATTTGAGACGCAGCCATTCAGTTTTTTTCTAACTTTGAAGTTTTACGCTGTGTCCATGTTCCATATTAAAGTAGTTTAGACGGTTGGTTATTGAAACTTCCCCACAAACACATACTATATATTAAAGAATACACCCTGGGGTAATTCAAAAGGCATATTTTGAACCTTGGCGTGGGATAATTTTTTCTCTAGTTTGTTCCAGGTGTAGTGGTAATGAGCATTTTTAAAATGTATTTTTTTACTTTTTATAACTTTTTTACTTTTAAAAACTAGTTTTTAAACTTTTGTTTTGCTTATAAATTTTTTTTAAACTTTCCTAAACTTTCTTAAAACTTTTTTACAGATTTAACATTTTTCTAAGCTTTTTTTTTTACCGTTAACCCCTAACTAGCAGTACGCAGCACTAACAGTAAATTCCCCATTTTCCCATAACTCCCACCCACCCCAGCTAGCAAAATATATAGTTATAAAATATTTAAATTAATTAATTAAATAAATTGAACCCCTGAGGGTTAAAAAAATAAATAAAAGTTAATCCTCAGGGGTTAAAAAAAATTAGATCACAGTATAATACTGTGATCTCTATTTGATCGCTGTAGGCAGTGATCGACTGGCAGGGAAGGGGTTAATTTTTATTTGGACTAGGTAAAGTGTGTTTTTTTTGTTTTTTTTACTTAAATGTTATTAAAACATTTTTTTAAGCTTAATTTTTAACTTTTTAAAGTTTCTTTTAAAACTTTTTTTTAACGTTAACCCCTAGTTAGCCTAACGCCAAATCCCCCAATTCCCCACTAACTTCCACCCACCCCAGCTATCTAAATATATAATTAAAAAATAATTTAATTAATTAATTTAATTAATTTAACCCCTGAGGGTTAAAAAAAAAAAAGAATTAACCCTCAGGGGTTAAAAAAAAAAAATCAAATCATAGTAAAATGTAATCCCTGCCAATTGATCACTGTAGTCAGTGATCAATTGGCAGGGAAGGGGTTAATTTTTTATTAAAACGGGTAAGGGGGGAACTTTAAATAAACTTTATTTTTTTTTCCAGCAGGGGGCAGGATCAGCACTGATCCGGCTCCCTGCACTTCACACAGAACCCGGAAGTGCAGGGAGCCGGTAGGTGAGTATACAAAGCACATGTGCTCGCTCTGACTTGTGGTCAGAGCGAGCACATGTGCTGGGCAGCCTGACCGGGTGCTCCCGGTATGCCTCCAATGCAGAGGCATACCGGGAGCACCATTAACCCCGCGATCGCCGTGATAGCGGCGATCCGGGGTTAATTTTACCGCGTGACGGACGAGGTCCGTCACCCGTCGTTAAGGGTCACCCCTCTGTGACGGACCTCGTCCGTCACCCGTCCTGAAGGGGTTAAAGACCTGTAGTATACTACAAAATGTGTGCAATACTAATAATGCATGTGTATTTAATTTCTAGGTATATGGATAACAGTTTGTCCAGCCAAACCAACCAAAAGGGAAGTTGTGCTAAAAACAAAAAACCCAGTTATATTGTGTAGTTATAAAATAATAAATTTTTATTTCAAGTGATATACTGTGATGTTGACAGCAAGATGTATGAATGTTAGATTTAAACATCAGGAGTAACATCCAGGCAAGGACACTGTAGCCTAGAACACAATTACCGTTTCTAATCCAAAATATAATAGATCATGTTTACAATACACAGTGCTGCAGATTATGTTAGCGCTTAAATATATTACAAATACATCTGCAAGCAGTAAAACTTCTGTCAGTGATTTCCTAGGGGAAAGCTTGGAAGGGCACGTGTCTTTTGTATGTGACCTGAAGCAGATGGCGCAAAAATGCAACAACCTGCATGCATTGTAGTTACATGCTCCAGCGTTGAAGTCGTTGCATATCTGTGCTTTGCCCAAGAATACTACTGGTCTGTCCAGCTTATCTCTCTGTCCCTTGTGCTGACTGACGGAGAGGTTGGAGGATGAGTAGGAATGGACATAAGTTTGAGGAATGTGAGGTAGTGGAGCAAACTGCACAAGATGGAGGTCTCAAGCCAGCAAAATGCCTGCAAAACAGCTCTGTGTCCAACTGAATCCAATCGATGCGAGTGTTGGACTGGCCAGAGCCACTGCTGCCTAAGATGAAATTGCTCTGTGGTAATCATAAAAGGCGAAACCCCCTTACTTGTGCCCCAAGTCCACCACCTTGTGTAGATAGAGGTCGAATTCCTCTCGCCTCTGAGGATATACTGAGCATATGACGTCCTTCTATAGTCAGAAATTGAGAACAAATTCGGGGATGGGTAGTTTTATACTGAGGTGAGAGTCCCTAGATCTGAGGAACTCTGACCTATCTTCAAAACCAACAGCTGTATTCTGTAGAGTATCCTGTGAAGCTATAAGGAAGGCAACAAGGCTAACATCCTTACCAGAATGTCTTCCCTAATGGAAGCTGGAACAGTATATAAAGAGTTGATGCCGAGTGGAGTGGAGGGAATGATAGTAATCCCCCTAGCACACGTGTTAGAAGGTGCAGGTGCTGTGCTTGGAGTGAGAGATGTGCTGGTAACCGTAGAAATTATGGTTTCTATATTGGTCATCCTCTCGTTTAGTGACTGAAGGGTGGACATGATGGATGACAAAGTGTCTTGAAACTGTCCCGAATTGCTGACATTAGGCTCCTGAGGACTTGTGCCGGGTCTGGGATCGTTTGATTGAACCGTTAATAACTTAAAGAGTTCTGCTTTCCTTGCTGTGGCCGGGAAAGGAACGTTTCTATGGTGTAGCTCTGCTGCCAATTTAGGGAAGGTCCAAGATCTCAGAGACCCAGGGGTAGTGGTAACGAGAGATACGGCTGATGAGATAGGTCTAATAGGTGTACCGGGCCCATGGTGAAAGCCATGTAGAGACAAGTTGTCTTCATGGGGTGAATCTTGCGACATCCTATGAAGAGATTGGTAAACACAGAATTTTGGGCCAAAGGTGAAATACTGTATAGAACTGGCTTGCTAGCTAGTACCAAATGGCAAAGAACTTAACTAGTTTCCTAGTGGCGAGCAGAGGCTCTACCTATGATTTGGCCCGTGGGCGAAATGTGGCCACCGAACGATGTGGCGGGATGTTGGCCTCTCGGTGACAGTATAGAGAAAAACTTTGGCCGTGGCATGTGACGTTCTAAACCAACCCCTGCAGAAGGGGATGAGGCAATTATATTAACGAGGGCCATGTGGGCGATACCTCAGCGTGACGTGGGTGGGGGTGGGGAGGCCTCATGGGAACTAGAACCTAAAAGTATTAGGGGCAGGTCCTGTCCCTTGCAGCCAGTTCTCTATCCCTGGCTGGGGCTTGTCTTATAGGAAACCAGTGTAAACGTAACCGTACGTACCTAATAACCAGATGAGAAAGACCCTGAGTGGAAGCTGGAGGGATGATACAGGATAAAGATGCCTATTTTGAAAAAGGATCAATTAATTAACTAATGATAAGTGGAGTAATGGTAATCCCTGTGACAATATATATATATATATATATATATATATATATAATAAAACATACTCTTAACTGAGCCTAAGAGATAACTCTCACGGGATAGGAGTCTCTTATACGCACCTGGAAGAAAATTGGGGATATGTGTAAGAAGTAAAATGTATGATAGTAAAACTGAACAAAATAAGAGATTTTTTTTTTTGGTGTGTAGAAATTGTGTCTAAAGTTTGTCAATGGTATTGCTAGCCTAGGTTGGAAACGGATAGCGCAACAGGAAATTAGTAAGATC